GCAACAGATATTGGAGTGGTAAACATTTTTTCATTTAACTTTGTGCTGCAAAGTAAATAAACATCTTTCACAAAATGTTAAACCATTCTTTTTTTAAATGCTTTTTCTGTCATTAAAAACACATTTCATTTTACTGAGGCATGCAGGTGAAAATCCAGCATAAAAATTATTTGTCCTTTCAAATATTTCCGTGGTGTTTCTTTTCTTGCGCTCCACTCCTGTACGGTAACATACTGTACCGTATTTGCATCTTTACCATCTTTATGTAAATGAAAATAGATTTTGATAGAAACTGGTCCATTACAGTGTCACAACATGACACAAACACACACTGTGATGCACCCAGGCAGACACACACACACACGCACACCTGCAGCCTTTCAGCACTCTGAGCCTGAACGAAGCATACTGCAAGGACTCAAACGTTCCTCTCTGCGCTCACATTCACACACAAACACACATAGGTGGACGCTGGCCTGCTGAATCAGCTGTTTGTCTGTTTGTGTGATAACTCTGCTGCAGCTCCAAAACTCAATCTGGAGTCTCTAACACAATCAGTTGAGAGCTGTGTCCTGATGGCAGAAGACTGATCAAAGCTGTCCACTGAGCTCAGGTACAGACTCGCAGCGTTATCAGCAGCTGGGACAGAGCAGCTATTCTCAGAGCGCTGACGCTGTTGTTCTGTTGTTTCACTTCTGTCTGCACACTCGCCTGTGTTTACCCAACACCTTCCACAAATCCCGTTTTGCGTGTCGGACATGTTTGCAAAGGATTTGGCCGTCAGTGGCCCCCTGTTCTACAGAGAAAGTCTTCCTGAATCAGGGAGGATTACATGCTGCTGCAGGGTCTCTGCAGTCAGCATAGAGAGACTCAGCAGCTGGACGTGACTGTAGCGGAGAATAATTCATTTTTTTAGCTTCTAATTTACATCTGTACATCTGCTTTCCAGTTGAGGCCTGAATACGTGGTTACTTTCAACAACGTTCGGAGTAGAGGAAGTTACTTTTTGTTCAAAACCACAAAAATCAGAAGAGCTGCAGGGTTATTGTTCAGAAATAAAAATCTTTTAAAATTTTCTTTTAAAAAACAACACTTAAATAACTCAACGACTCAACTGCACATCTAACCATCATCATAACCCACGCCCAGTGTACTCTAATGTGTAATATTGGGTCTGTAAAGATCAATTTGAATTCAATATTCAAATTTTATATATAAAACCGTCACTCTTATTTATTGATGACCTATTATTGTATCAGCAAACTAGACTGTTCTCTTTGTTAATGGAAACTAGGAAGATGGAAAATAATGACATCTGGTTAGTAACATTTAGGAGGATCTATTGTCAGAAATTAAATATAATATTCATAGATATGTTTTCATTGGTGTATAAACACCTAAAAACAAGAATCATTGTGTTTTTGTTATCTTAGAATTACAGAGGGAGCGGTTCATCTTCTACATAGGCTGCCATGTTGAATTGCCATGTTTCTACAGTAGCCCAGCTACTTTAAAAGCCACCATAGTTTCTCCTACACACTTGGAAGGTATTCAGTTGGTTGCTATCTGCAATTTAACAGGTAGATGCTGCTAAATCTTACACACTGGTCCTTAACGGTTGTAATGTGAGGAAGTGTTTTGGATTCAACACTAGATACAAAAATTGAGAATAAAAGTGAGGATGTTTGCTAACTTTAAAATACAGTTGTCATACAGTGAAGTTACTATGACAAATCTGAAATATAGTGTCCATTGTACAAAATACCATTATAATTAGGCTACATGGTTTGGGTTCAAACAAGTTTTCATTTGACTCACCAAAGGAACCAGCCCCGTTACTCATCACAGAGAGTCTCTGTTCGGACCACCAGCAAGTTGAATATCTAGTAGATCAGCCTGCTTCTCTTCCAGCTGATTGTATTCCATAAGGTGTCCATAAATTAGGACATTATTCATCAGTGTCAGATGAGAGCTGTGAGTTAAACTACAAACACTTTTTCATATTCATTGTTACACTCAGCAAGATTGCGTGAATTCCGGATTAATTACAGATGGAGGATGTCAGAGACGCTCCGCGAGGTCGAAAGCTTGGGCCCCAAAATGATTATCCAGCATGTTAATTGGCAGCAAGCGCAAGTCAGAAATCCAGCTCATGAATATAAATGGAGGAGAGGTTGAGTGCTGAAGTAGTCCAAAGAGACAACAGACTCAGTTACAGACCCTCCAACATGGATGAGATCCTGGACTACCGTGATGAAATAACACACTGAAGGTCTCTCAGGTTCTGTGGATTTGTATCTCACAGTGGTTACAGGAAAATATGACCTCTATGATTATTTTTGTTTGCTGGAATCCAGATGATGCCATTTTCATTCATTCAAGCCCTGAACACAACTACAAACACCAATTTCAAATTTATAAGCCTTAATTCGTTGTTATATTAGCCTCCACCCTTCTGGTTTTACCACTGGATGTTGAACCTGGCTGCAGGAATTTGATCCCATTCAGACACAATAGCATTAGTGAGGTCCAACACTATGTTGTTGTTATGTTTGATATAATGTATCTTTCTAAGATTATTTTCCTGGCACAGGAAACATGGGGAGAGACAAGAATATGACATGGAACAAAGGTCCTCAACCAAAATCTAACCCTATATGTTTCTCAACAACTGAGGTACCAGGGTGCCCCGATACAAACATATCCTGTTTAACAATATGCACACAATCAGTATAGATCTCGAGTTTGATTTATAGCAAACAATCACAATTTCAATCAGAATGCACAGAAAGAAAGATAGAGGAAGGTGGTTGAAAGCTGGAAGAAACCGATAAGGCCTGAGGGAGCAGTGGGTAAACTTGGGGCTGGGACTTTGTGTTGTACCAGGCAGGAATTAATCCTGGTCTTGTTGTGTTAAATAGACGGACCAACATCACCCCAGGCCGAAAAAACTTCCAGAAAATGCGATATTTGTTCTAAAAACTTTGAATTGTAAAGTAAGTTCAGTCGCAGATCTCCTGGAAGTTTCTAATAATAACAAACAAAATAAATGCTGATTCACCAGGTTTGGTCTGTTGGCTGCTCCACCTTCACTGTCAGTGATAATTTATCTACAACCCTGCTGACTGTGCTGCAGCTGATTTTTTACAGAATTATTAAAAAACTAACTTTCTTTTTTACATGAGCACAACCACAAAACTGTCCTGAGCAGAGAAAGCATCTGGAGCTGCAACAACCTATCACACAGCTCCACTTTATATCAAAAAGTTTCTAGGTTTATTTTATGGTGCTGTCAAAGAGTAATGTCTCCTTCCTTTTGAAATAAAAAAGCAGACACGGGTCTGACCAGACTTTGTGGTTGACAGATTAATCTATCAGCAGCTCCTGTTCATTCTCCTTACACAAAGAATAAAGAGATTCCATGATTTTTTTGTCTGTGTCAGGATGCAGCAGAGAGTTTTCGAGAACATAAGATGGAAAATAACTGTTGAACTTATTGAAATCAGTTTTATTTTGTGGCCCAGGACCACAGATCAGCCTCAAAAGGGCTTTAAAGAAACTGCGACTGTTTGACACACAGAAGGAAAGGAGGTATCTGAGGAAGAAAGGAGGAGGTAGGGAAGGAAAGGGGCATATAGAGGAAGGATGGATGATGTGGAAAGAAAAATGGAAGATAGAAGAAGGAAGGAGGAGCTAAAAGCAAAGAGGGAGATAGAGGGAGAAAAGTGGATGTTTAGAAGGAAAGAGGGAAGATAGAGGAAGGAAGGAGGAGGTAGAGAAGAAAATGGGAGATAGAGGAAGGAAAAGGAGGAGCTACAAGGGGGAAGGGGGGAGAGCAGAGAAGTTTTTGCTGCTGTGTAATAAAACTTGTTTATTCTCTTGTATTAAGAATGCTTGATTCTGATTGGCTGGGAGGAGGGCATTAACCCGGCTATTGCCCGCTGACTGAGCACAGCGTCATCAAATAGTAGATCAATAGCCGCTTGTATTTTTTTTTATCACATAAAATTTCAACATGAGGCCTTGGAAAATACCCTTTTGTTAAAAGGTTCTAAAACGTGTCGGAATCTATCGGAGGGTCAGTCGTACATAGTTTCGCAAGCGAGATACAATACGTTATTAAACTAACGTTAGTGATCAGATGCAGCCTTGTTGTGGTTGCTATAGAAACGAATGAGCTACAGCTGAGCTAACGTTATTCACGTAGTTAAACATTTCAGTGTTTGAAAAATGGATGATTCATTGTCAATTTTAATATATTTGGAGTAGGGAAGACTTGAGGACTGGTTAGAGTGACGAGGACGACGGAATGACAGAAAAACAGACCCAGGTGCTGTTTCAGAGATTTCGACAGATGCGGAGCTGCTTACAATTAAGAACCAAACACAAAAAAGCAATGCCTTTGCTATTAAGGTTTTCCCGAGTGGAAGAGCACCAAAAGGAACACTCACACTGACAACTGACCCGGACACTGCAGCGCCGAGAATTAAATGATTGTTAAGACGGTTTTTATGCTACAGCGCAGTAGGCAAGCATACAGTGTCAACGATGACCAGGGATCAGATGCACGTGTGTGGTTGCTATAAAAAACGATTAGCTGAGCTAACGTTATTCACCGTAGTTCTAAAGGGGACTGCTTTTGAGGGAATGAACTCAAACAGAGTATACATTAATAAGCTGCAATATGAATAAGAAAAACATAATTATAAAGTATTTGAATTGTTTTATTATGTTGGCAAGTAAGAAGTAGAATAAACGGGAATAATCACCTCAAGGCCGGGCAATAAACAGTTTGATATGCCCGGCTGGTGAAGGTTCAGCCTCGCCTTCGTCTAGAAGCTGTTATTTTATCTCTACTCGCCTTCATCTCGGGCGGTAAACCCGTCCACGACCCGGGCATATCAAACTGTTTATTGCCTGGCCTCTCATCTGTCCTGGTATATTTGAAGTCCACGATGACCTTTGACCTTGTTGACTGTGTTTCCACCTGTATTTCTTACCTGTACATTTCTTGGGGCTGCCGGGTCTCTTGCCGTGCATTCCCAGCTTGCAGCTAAAGTTCTCCTCCCAGAACTCAGCAAACCAGACATTCCTGCGATTATTGGACAGGGAGCGGCTCTTGAAGTAACGGTCAAACGCTGTGGAAAGAAGGAAACTGTTTTTACAATGCTGATCTCCCGCAAAGTGTCCTCAGGACCATGGTCACGTTTCCTGTCTCACCGTCCACAGAGGCCCTCTTGGGGAGGATGGTGACTGCGCCCTCGGCCACCCGCTCCTGCTGGACCACTGGAGAGATCTTGGAGCCCCAGCTGTCAGAGCCCACCCACAGGAAGTGACCTGTCAGGTTGTTGCGTTTCGCAGCATCCAAGATTCGCCTGTGAGGGTCACAGGTGAGACAGTTGAGATAGCCAATGAGAGCCGAGAATCAGTTCTCACGTTTCAGCTAAATGCTAAGCTTGCCCTTTACATTCTGACCTTTCTCCTCCTGTCTATGAGGTCTCAGAATTAGTGATTTCCCTCTCTGTGCAATACAGCGCTGCAGATTAACATCAGCTGTTAGAGTGATATCGAGCGTGTGTGCGCTGCTCTCAGTTCACGTAGATAAATAGAAGCTTGTTATCTTTATCTCTACTCAACACTTGTTGTAGCCTCCTGATTAAATACATTAGGAACAAACAGACACAGAATACATGTATTGGGCGATACATTAACATTTTCCAACCAACAAGATCTCATAGCTTTAATAAAAAAAATAAACTCACAAAATGTCAAGAAAGGAAAAGAAAAACACCTATTTATAGAAAAATACGACTGCACATCTTCTGAATTCATATCAAATTCTTATTCTGAACAATCACTAAATCTGGTGATAAGCCATCTAACAGAGTTAGATATAAAAATATTTTGGCTCTAGGCGCTGTCGCTTCATCTCTGAGGCCCCGACCTCTATCGCCTCTCTACCCGCTTCATGCTTCTCTTCTCTCCCATCCCGGGCTCTCCCTGCTGTGTCTCCATCTTCCACAGATTGTCTTGTTTGACGCCTCTGTGAATCACCTTTTAACTGTATACCATCATCAAACTAGTCAAAATAAACCCTTAATTTACCATATTTAGATTTAAAAATACTCTGGCTCTACAGCTGGTTTTCCTCTCACTTGTTCTTCGGCTCAGTGTGTGTATTGCACCGCTGAACATTTGTCTCTGAGCTGCTCTCATTCTTCAGAGGCAGAACATTCAATTAACAAAATAAAATGAACACGTTTTTGTTACCTATTGGGGACCTACAGCTGAGGCTGATGGGAATGCCATTAGGTATTTGCTCATGAACCAAAGTATTGGATACACAACCTGATGATGGGATAGAGGGAACATTAAATTATCCCTAAAGAGATTAAAATTTATCCTCAGCGAGACAGAAATGAACAAAATTCAGTGCAAATCTATTCAATACTTTTTGAGACATTTCACTGAAAAACAAAGACAAAAAAAAAAACAAATCATGAAAGTGCTACAGGAAAAGTTGGAGGATCACCAAAGTCAGTAGGCTTCATCCTCTGGGGAACATGAATGTCTAAACCACTGGTTCTGAAAAACTATGGTAGATGTACCACTGGTGGTACGCAAGCTGCTTCTGTCCATAGCTGATAGTGGTTGCCCTGTGCTACTGTATTTTAATGTTGGTCATAATGGTGGTACTTGGAGAGCCTAATAATTTCTGAAAGTTTGAGGACCAAAGTGGCGGACCAACATTGTCACGTCATGCATAAAAATACAATTCAATCTCTTGTCGTCAAACTTTAGAAAATTAAACTTGTGTCTGTGTGTATGTGTTTTTACCGAATGTCGTCCTCGTTTGCGAACATGATGACAGCGCGGGCGTTGGGCGTCTCCAGCAGACGGAGGATGATCTTGTCAAACTCGCCGGGTCTCGGCTCCCGAGGAACCTTCAGAGACTGAGCGATACAAACTCCACCTGAGAGAGAGACCAAGAGAGAAAGAGAAAGAGTGAATATTTAGAAATAAAGACTTAAGGATTAGCGTAGAGAATATTTTTGTGTTTTGATACTGTCATTGTGTTAGATTAGTTAATCATAAAGTCATAAATTATTGCTGTAACTTGGCACCATGTAGTGTAAATCCTGGCATTACATTCTACAGCCACAATGTGAGGATGCAGGCCTACTGCTCAGAAAGCTCAGTTGTATAATGGACAGAAGTTGAGGGCCAAAATTTATTTTCGATTCTTAGCAGTGAAAGTAAAAGATCCCATCACCAAAGTTGCTACAATATATCCTGTATAATGTACCTCATTTCATGGCAATCATTCCAATAGTTGTTGAGTTTCAACCAAAAACCAAAATGTTCAATCGGTTGTTGGCACTATATGAAAAGTCAGGGGATCACCAAAGTGTTGATGATTCATCCTCTGGGGGCCAGAAATTTTCATGGAAATCCATTTTATAGCTTTTGAGATATTTCAGTCTGGACCAAAAGTCTCAGTCTGGAGAGACGAACCCTAAAGCAATATGATGCTAAAACTATCAGGTGAATTTAAAGTAAACTGAGGCTTCCTGCTTTATATTGCCAGCTTTCTGTATAACAAGTTAACAGAAAACTTCTCTGCTGACATTTATCCTTCCTGTGTAACTGCTGGTATGTTTGTTCTGCTGGGTGAACATCTGGCAGCGGACACATTAACAAATCTGCTTCTATCTGTAAATCTCTTAATGAACACGCATCATCTTCACTCCTGTTTATCTTTGCTATTTTCTTTTTCTCTGTGCTTCATTATGTCTCTGCTCTAATGTTTTAATCTTCTCTCTTTATCTTGTTCTGCACCCCACTGCTGTGACGTGTCACTGCAGGGATCATTAAACTTTCATCTCCAGTCATTGAAACAAAGGTTGGGGGTTTATTAATATTGCCAGACACTAAATAGGCCTACTGTCACATTATCACTGCCATCTCACTAATGATACTGTATGATTCCTTCATGCAGTATGGACTGCAAAACATGTTCACTTGAGGAAATTGTTCTATCACATATGTCTCATACTATACCTCACCGATATGCCAGCTCAACAATTACAAAAAAAGTCATTTTGTTGGTATTCTCTGGTGTTCATAATGGTATTTTAGAGTTTGTCATTTCCTGTAAAACGATAAAAAGTTGTTGATGACTCATCCTGCACTTGAGGTATACTAATTGTACCTCCAATGAAACATTTGACGCAACTGGAGCAGAGTGGTTCTTGGGGCTGGGCTGATTAGGCTACTGTACAAAAACACAATTTTATAACCTATTTTATAACTGATTTGGGTGAAACTGGAGGAGAAAGGAGAAAATATTTTATAGTTTACCCTCTGATGTCTTCTGGCTGATCAGTTGATTTGACTTAAAGTCTCCTGGTGGAAAGTTAGCTTTGCTTTTTGCTAAAGCAGCTAAGCTTAGCTTGGTTAGCCATGCCAGGAGCCAACCCCGGCAAGAAAACCATCCCAGTACTGCATTCCCTGTCATCAAACGGGCGCTGTTGGTCTAACAGGCTGTGTTTTTGGTCCTTGGCTGGCTGAGAAACACGTATATATAATAATATACATTAATATTAAAAGGTTTAAAAGCATGTTGGATTTTTCAGCTCAAGAGAAAAATATTTTCACATGATGCCAATAGTATAGTTAGATTTTATGGTATTCTTCTTTATTACAGTTTTATTCATGGACTTTAATGTTATGACTGCTGGTTCTGCTTCCTGATGATTTATTCTCCGGCAATCAGCTGGTTTCCCTTCAAGGTTCAGGGAAAAAAGTAGATGTTAACTCTTTGTCTCCTACTCATCACATTATTAAACTCTCTGTTCGTCCTCACTGAAGGCTCCTGCTAAAAACATACTTGAAGTTAGAAACATTGTCCCTGCAGTGTTGGCCCTCGGGCACATAAACGAGAGCAGCAGTGGAGTTTTAAAAAGAAGAACTTTGTGCTTCTGACATAAAGTGAAGTGAAGTACAGTAGAGGCTGCAGAAAAAGCCAACCTCAGACTATAAGCTGTTCCAACTTAATTGGCTGTTTTGTTTTAAAAAGACGGAGCGAATCGCCAGATGACTGTCGCAGGAAATCCCGAGGGAAAAAGAAACAAAAATAATCTTGTCTTGTTGGGCTGACCTTGATTGTTTAAACAGCGGAGCCGTTTCACTTTCTTTTTTTTTTAAGGAGATAGAACTGGAGCTAGAGTTTTTAAATATTACTGCAGCAAAGAGACTCTGTGAAAAGGTAAAACTAATTCCAAGAAAGACTGAAAGTATCTATCTACACTTCACATGTGAGATATTCAAAGAATGTAGCCAGTGGTGAATGACAGGAACATGAAAGAGCCTTCTTTTTCACACATATACCAAAGATTTTAAAACATATTATATTCCAACCTCAACCACACTGCCAGTCACTCAAACTCACTATCCTCTCGTCACCTCGCCTAGATTGGCTGAAACCAGAACATTAATTTTCTTTGGTTAAGAAGCAGGAAAAACAAAATATTGTCAATGCTGCTGGTGTGAAAATAAAATAATAGGCTACAGAACACAAATAATTAGACTCAAATTTTCAGCGTTTTTGTGTCATAATTTTAGGTTGTGTGAATTGGTAGGCTTTAAGACCAAAGTTGGTTTGAAATCTTTCAGATACAAATAGAGTGAAATTTTAATGTCAATGTCATGCTCAGAGGTGTAATGTTTACCATATTCACCATCTTACTTTACAGTGTTATACTGTTGCTAATTATCACTGAACAGAAACGACAAGTGAGGCTGATGGGATTTGATCATGAACAAAAATATTGGGCAAATTAACATTTTGACCTGATGGTTGCAATTCAGGAAATGTCAGAGGAACAGGAAAGTCAGTGGGTTTCACCTCTGGGCAAGATGAGTGTCTGTACTAAACTTAATGACATCAACCAAGCATAGTTGAGATATTTCTTTCAGGAACAAAGTGGTGGACCACCTCACTGACAGTGCATCCATGTATCCTCACTGCTAGCATGGCTAAAAATATCAGTGGAGAAAAATGCATGGTACAGAAAGTATAGGATTCTGGAAAGGATATACTTAAGTACAACAGGTTAGTTATACTTTTTCCCCAGGAATTTTCAATATATTTCCAAAAAGTTTCTTAGAGAAAATTATGTGATTTGGAACTAATTATAGAATATAAGAGACTTTAAGTTAGAGCACAGCAGGTCATTTGAGCATGAAATAATGTGAAATGTGTCTACGGAAGAGCACACAATTCAACAGAAGTTTCCAATTTTGTATGAATAATCGTATTATTACTTTTCAATTTACTTGAATGGAGCACTCCAAAGAAACCGTTATAAATGACATAGTTCTTCACAGGAAACTTCAGAGGAAATTATTCAGAATCTGTAGCCTAAAAGAAAGCTTGACCGTCACTTCACTGTTGAAGCAGCAGCGTAGCTGTAAAATGGCTTTATAATATTATAGAAATGTCGTAAATATCATCAATTGAAGGTTCATCTCTGTTAAAGTAAAAAAAAAAGTTGTGTGAGTTCAGATCTTGTCTGTTCAGGCTGATCACAGAGGTTTCATGCTTTAGAGATAAAAACATTTAAGACCCTGCTGCCATTATCATTATCACACCATCCACAGTGAGCTGTCGCTCCCTCAAGACATGGCTTCATTCAGACACTTTCAGAGTAAAATTGATTCCATTGTAAGCTCAGTGCTACATTACACGGGTCCATCAGGCCATCAGATTGGAGCTGCAGCACCTCTCTTATATAGACCCTTTTCTTAGTGAGGTTTATATTATATGTTTGAAGATTTGAAGGTCAGGCTGCTGAGAGTGTGATGGCAGCACTATCCTCTCACATCTTAGTGAAAGGATTTTTTTCACTCTTCATGCAGCTTAATCTCAGGTTTCTTGACACCTGAAGGTTGTAAGTTTCTAAAGCACGAATTGTGCCTGAAAGATCACAGACAGTGAGTTTACTATGACAGGTGACTGGTGAAAGATGTTTGTTGTGAAGTGACCATTTAAAAAGACTGAGTGACCTGCAATTTGCAGACAATAAGTGGCTGGGCCTATTACAAGCCTGTGACTGCCACAGATACCAGATTGTTGTTCCTTTTTGTTTTAGAGCATTTGATTTATTGATTGCTGTCAGGTTGTTAAGAGAACTTCAACAAATGTATAACAAAAAATTCTTCTGAAATACCTACCATAGCTTTAAGCTACCTGGCAGTACATAAAGTAGTTAAAAAAAAAGTCCCACCTTTACTAGCTGCAATATGAACTGATGAACACATTAATGCATCAATAATTATAATAATATGTAAGGTGTATTTTTCTGAAAAGTGCCATTCTGCATAATGAGTACTTTTACCTGAAGGACCAGTGTGAAAGATTTAGTGGCATCTAGTGCTGAAGTTGCAGATTGAAACTAAATGAACACCACTCGGGTGGAAGTGTGGAAGAGAAACTACGGTGGCTGCTCCAAAGAGGCAGTGTTTGGTTTGTCTGTTATGGGATACTGTAGAAATGTATCATTTCAACATGGCGGATTCTATGGAAGGCGACCCAGGGCGTCTATAGATGAAAGTGATTCATTCACACTATATTCATACCTATAGATATCATATTTTGTCTCTGCCAATAGATCCTCCCCCATAAGTGTGTAATGTTACTACACACTGGATCTTTAAATAAAATTTTGAGAGCAGGATTTTTACTTGTATCAGAGGTTTTCTACATTGTGGTATTTCTACTTTTACTCAGGAAAAGGGTCTCATACTTCTGATTAATACAAACAATGGACAAAATTATCAAAATAAGAATGAAAATAAGAACCAAGTTGTAATAAATTAATAAGATTTTCTTTTTGTCTCATTTTTTCTTGTTTAATTTCAAATGTTTCTACATTTATATAATTGTTTATGTTTTTTTATTTTTTGTGGAGC